ATAAACAACTAAAATTAATTACGGAGTTATTATTTATTTATAGTATTGTGATATAAATATAAATTATCATAATCACTATATGGACAAACAATGTGCTGCCATCTGTCGGACATAATGAGAACTATCTAGCGGGATAAATAACGTGCTGCCATCTATCGGATGTTTCCTTTTTAGACTTTTAGTTCCAGTCGGATCTGAGAAGTGGTTAGATGGCAGTGCAATCGGTAAATAATGAGCGCAACAGTGTATGACAAGGACAGACTTATACAATGTGATAGACAAGGAAAGCAATAGCGTGCGACAAGGACACTAATAGATTTTAGTTCCGTCGTTTCACCGCTACGCGACGCTAGTATTTCAATGTCCGTAAGTTGATCAAATTTTCATTTACAAAAAAATATAATTAAGAGCATTGATTTATGAATTTTTGCATTTGCATCTTCCTAATTAAACTGTAAGTTGTCTTTCTATGTTTCATTTAACCTACAGAGTACGTATTTTAACGATTTGCAAATTCCATTCAGTAGATCGAAGCGCTAGATCGAATAAATGAGTTATTGACAATAGAATTTAATGAAAATTGTCAGTTCTTTTGAAGAGAATTCAATTGTTTGATCATTTACTTGTTATAAAATTTATTATCATCAATTTATCATAAATTTAATTACATCACTTTATGAAGATGCATTTTTACTGTATAGTGTACATATATATACATACATATTGAGAATTCAAAAATCTTTTATCACATTATTTCTATTATAATATTATGTTTACAACAATTGTAACGTATACGATTATTTATTTTTAATTCGTTTTAATTCATTTCGTTTTTTGACTTCATCTATACACTATAATAATACTATAATATATAATACTATAATAATAGTGTGTCGCAATAAAATGATGAAATAGAGATTATAAAACATGAGTAATTAAATTGCGTCGCGATAAAAAAGATATCCTAATGTAATAACATTCTAATGTAACGTGGAAGAAAAAATAAATTGTTTTTTGTATTTCAGATACACATATATGACACAACGTGAATATTTAAGCCGTGCTAGTGCACACAACTCGAGGAAGAGGATAAAAAGGTAAACGAAATGCACAGACACCATTACGATAAGGTAAAATTTATGTATTTCAATTACATGCGATGTTTCCTTCATGTGCAATTGTAATCAACACGGTTATCTATTTTTGAAACAATTACTAACTAATAATTTATCACGTACAATCGAATATTTTATCGAAACAAAAAAACAGATATTTTTACGCGATATTTATTGAATATTTTTATCGGCGTTATCTTCGTCAATTTAATTATACTTCCGTGATTCATAACATCATTACATTTACCGTCTTTTTACAACAGACAGGAGTCGTTGAGTGGAGGACAATTCTTTTAATTTCTTTAATTCTTAAAACTTGAAAGTTATCACTTTCGAACATTTATTGTACCCCGAGAAAGGGTAGCCTACGCGAAAGTTTTACACTTTAAAAAACATAATCACGATGGCCGTTAAGAGTAGCAGGGTTATCGTTTGTTTGTTTCTCATTCAATCGCGTCTTCTATATATAAATATACTTTCGTTCAATTTCGAGAAATATTGGCAACAGTGTTATATCCCTACTTTAAAAACATTCTTGGTAAATTTATCGGTTTCTTTTCATGAAATGAATACGTGACTTTTCGGTGCGATCTCGAATTTCGAGGAGTATCATGCAAATACGTTTTTCAATTCTTTCTCAACGTATATATATATATATATATATATATATTATTTTATTTAATCAGTGATTTCAATGTGTTCAACTAATTCAGCTCTCGTCACTTTGGGCAACAGTCTTCATTTGTTTCTTCAGGTATAGCGCTGCATGATCAGAAGAAACGTTGTTTATCATAAATATCCTCGAGGCTGATAACATGTTCTAATCAGGAACATTTCATTTGTTTCTCTTATTACTCACTATAACGAACGAGAGTTTAATTTAAAAATAATTCACGATATTAAGATACAAGATCGATGAGAGAATTCGACGTAGCACGGAAAAGTAATTAACACTAGAACTACCAAAGTGGTCAAAATGACCAATTTGTAATTTTCTATGGAAATTTTATACGTTTATAACAGCGTATTCCTAGATACTCGAGTGATTTTTAATAAAATATATTAACAGAAATTTGTGTTCATTATCGTATTATTAATTTCTTCTTGCATCTTACATTTTAATTTCTTTGCCACAAATATTACACGTTGGTCGTCGGTAGTTCTAGTGTTAAAAAAGTAATCTTCTTTTTACGTCATCTCAGATGATCATCCATTTCGTTTTGTATAAATTAAAAATGTTCGGTTATCATTGCAAACTAATTATGATTACTTTATAAATATTAATCCGCGGCGTTGGAAGATCAAGCGTGAAACACAAGCAAAAAACCTCCAGTCACCTGTTTCATCACGTGAGATATAATTGTATTACAAACTAAATGAAAAAAAAAAAAAAAAAAAANAAAAAAAAAGAAAAAAAGAACGTGCAAATATTAACCTTGTGACTGCGAAACATATCTACCAAAAATTCCGTTTTCTCATATTTTTCGACGAACGACGAATAATTAAGCTTAAGTTTGTCCAGCTGAAACAGGTTTCTCTTTGAGGATTTTTTGATTAGTCAACTTTGTTTCTCGTCGTTCCTGGTAAAACGTCTGATAAATTCCTCAGGTTTTTCGGCGTTTACCGCAAAAGAACAAAGTAATTTTAATGCGAGATGAAAGGATCAAGTGCAACATGTTGCAAACATCGTTATGCGCCGATCATTAAGTCAAATGAATTGTCTCACGTTTCTTAGAAAAAAAAAAAAAAAGAAGAGTGAATCTTAAGCGTTAATTAATCATTTCCGCGAAGTGACTTATCAATGAGACATTAGATGGAGGTACAAGTCTGTTGTATGACTATATCTGAAGATATCATCTACAAGATCATCGTAAGATATTAGAAAGAGATTTTATTATAAGTTACATAAACGTACATAAAGTACTTGTGTATTGTCGTTGTGTTCTTCAGTACTTTTTGTAACGTATTGAACGAAGCAAAATAATTTGATTTACATTGGACTTAACTCGATCTACGCTAGAGTCTGAATGCGTTTACGTAACGTTTTCATCTGTTAATCACGCACGGATTAACATAATGGAAAATCATAAAACTCATTAATTAAAAACGATCAACTGCATTTATTATACGCTAGTAAAACAACAATTTTCTGTAGAACAGAACGTTGAAACGAGTCGACATACTGTTTCATAAAATCAATTTACATACATACTTTCTATTTTATATTCATCAGTGTCAATTTATGTATAAATATAAGTTATTTATATTTCATAGATTATAAAGAAAGAAGCTATAAATATGCTTTGCTTTTAAAATCTCATGAAATTCAAGGTGTTCGTGACATTCTTTTTGTTACATGTCTGACATCAACCATTTAAATATCTATGTTAAGGCAATGTATCAAGATGTTGTTCTGGAACAGAACATGCTATTCGGACAGGTAAACGATAGTTACGACAGCCATAACTCACTCCAACATCTAGCAAGGGATTTTATTGACGGTCAATAACCATGCCGACTTTTCCAATTTCCCTGTCGTCCCTTCTAATTGCACTTTCTCCTGCATTGACGAAGGGACTGGGATATGGAAAAGATCGGCATGAGCAAAACAAAGGAAAGAGCCTCTAAGGAGACACTTTTGCCCGAGATATGTAAGGAGTGATACTACCGCCTATGTAAGAGCACAGGTACGCAGTCGTGATATTAACTCATCTCATAGAGCAATCATACAGTACACAGCATCAGTCACATCAGTCATCAATTGTTAAATATAAGTATTTAACCTATATTGGCATTCCATCATTTAAATCCTCTCTCCGACGGAAGTATAAAGAACCGAACGAGAGAACTATCGGCACTTCACGGACAACATACACACCGTTGTGTCCAAACAGATGTTTTTCCATGCATTCTCCTTATATGTTACGATCACGCGTATTGATTGTGCAAAAAGTATACACGCAAAGAGTACACAATGTAAAAAAAGAGTAGAACGACAGGTGATATCAAATTTTAAATGCAATCGACGATATCGATGGACATTGCATGGACACGACACAGTCCCGTTTGCCAAAATTAAAAATAATATTCGAAGAGCTGTAGCATCTGATTGATTCCAATCGCGCGTGTTGACATATGATTATTTCAGATGGAAATAAAAACTCTCGGCTTTCTTCATTTTTCTTCACCGGGTTCTGCAACGTTATTTTCGTAGCGTCAGATTTTTGCCAAAAATCTCGCGAGGTAATATGAAATTTAACACACTTGAAACTAATTGAAACACTATATGCCTATACTTACACGATGAAATATGAACACGTATTCGCACGTATTTGTATAACGTTTAATAGAAAGAGCAAACACCTGTTGCGGATTATTTTACAGACACGTGATTGTCGCATCATGTTTTAACGTGCCAATAGTTTATTAATCGTTGCCTACAAAAACTTTCCGATTAATCAGCTGATGATACTTCAATATCTGCAGGCGTCGGTAATTCGCTGGTGGTATGAAAAAAATGAAAGCAAATAACGCGATTATCATTCGGCAGCGGTAACTTGTGATAAATCACAAGAGGGAAATGCAGGATAACGATAACATATACATCGACTCTAGGGTATGAGATAACAAAATTGAGGAAAGTCAACCTGAACTTTTATTTCTTCAATTAGCTAGAACAACCAAGGACTAAAGCATAGAATTTTCATCAGAGACATTAAAGTGAAAAAAATAAAAATAAAAAAATAAAAATGGAGTACGTAAACTTCTATTCATGTATTTTATAAAAAATCATTTAAACCTGTAAAAGTACACTGTTTTGCATCTGTAATGTGTCTAAAAAAAATTATGAATCGGTCATTTTGACCACTTTGGTAGTTCTAGTGTTAATAAGGCTTGTGAAATTACATCGAATTCACAATAAAAAAAATTTCTACGAACGTGTTATATAAAACATCTTGAAATTGAAGCAATTCATAATGAGACGCAGTTGTTACGATTGTATTGGTATTATAAATTTATGACCAGTTTAAAATGAAAGAAAAAAAGATGTAAGACAAATTGCAAATCACGAATATTGTATACAACCGATGGCTTAAGCATAAAGGAAGTAATCATTTCTTTAAATTATTTGTTTCCTGAGAATTAAGTATCAATCGCGTACATGCATATGTTGACCATGGTGATCAATTTAATTTCTAATCTGTGCGAGAATTAAATAACGAGACTGACGATAATGTTCTTTTAATAGTAATTGCGACAAATAATCGAGTGGTTAACAACAAAACAGACAGATAACTCTCTGGTTTCGAGTGTGCCTCCATTTAATTCTTTAACAATAACATATTACGATAAAGGCATTGTTTTTGTTGTTCATGGTTGTTCTCTTGCTTGTTTTGTATTGCGTTCTCAGATATCACTTTTATCTGAACTGTGAACCAATCCTCGAGTCAGCCGTGCTCGATAATATTTCAACGGGTGCAAAAAGCATAGTAAATACGAAATCTTGATAGATCGGCAGATTTATTTTCAGCGATATTTTATTTTTAGCGTAGCATGTGTTTCTTCATTAATCCGGCGTGGAATACGTGGAACATGCACGCACACTCGCAATCAGATCACTTGACTAACGCGATAAAAAAAATGTCGATATTTAGTTCGATCAAAGATATTTGCACATATACAGTTCGTACGTTGAACAAACATGAATGAAGTAAGATCAACAAAGAGTACAAGTTGTACTCAAATGAACTAAAATTAGAAGAATTATAAGTAAGATTACCGAAATGGATTATATTATAGTAATTTTAATGTTAGAATTGTATTATTTGTATTATTTGCATAATTATACATATATTTATATAATTATAATTATATACATATTATAATTAAATTATGATTATAATATTATAATAAATAATTATGTATAATATATATTATATACATATTATAATTATTATTATAACATATACAATACATATTATAATTATTTACATAATATATTCTAGATTATTTAAATATTTACATGCTCAATAATTTTTCATCGTTTAACAATTAACCTTTGGAAAATGGATTAGTTTGCTTCTGAAATCTATAAACAAACGAAGGAAATCGTCATTTTATATTAAAAAAAAAAACAATTATGTTTTGATAACACATTCCGTAAGTTTGAATTTGAACTTTTTTGAACTTTTTTGAGCTGGTGTACGTGCAATAGCAATAAATACCATAATTATCGCGAGACAAACAACAAACATTACGTACACGAAAAAGAGAAAAGAATTAAACTGCTCATCGGTTTCATCAGACAACACTCGGAACGGAGATTATTATTATTATTATCATCTCTGTCGTGCAACGACGTTAATTAGGCAATTTTTCTTCCACCGGAGTATCTATCGTGAAAGCTAATCGAAGCGTCGCCATCATTAATTTTCTGCACAACCGTGAGCCATCCGGGGATCCGTTGCACTGAATTTAATATCAGCACCGGTGACGGTGTGTTATCGCGGCTGCTACGTGGCTTCCTCGTGATTTTTCAAAAGCATCCAAAGCGACCAAACAGAACGTCGCGCGGACTTTTGTCGCGGTCGTTTCAATGAGCCGCTTCATAAAGGGGTGAGGATCAGTTGACTGATTTCAGCATCGGCCAAGATTTCATTAAATATTTTGCAACTTCGTTTCGAATAATCGTGACGATCGTGTCTCGCCACGACATTGATCGTTAACACATTACCAACCTGTATCTTCCTCAAGGACGATGCTCGAGCGTTGAAGAGAACGCGCGTTGTTTCTCGAATCTTGCGAATAATTAACAATTACCTGTTTCCACGGGTATTCTTCAATTCACGGCAACGTTCATGTAACAAAAGTGACTCAACAGCAGCTGATTGTGAGATTTGGTCTTATCGTTAGCGGGATGAATGTCACTAACGCTGATAAATCAACTTCCACCGAGCAGCGAGTTCGATTTTTCTTTTCAAACGAGACAACCGGTAGATGGAATAACGCGGTGTTTACGAAGCTTTTAAAGACGCACCTTGTGAGCAAACATGCAGCGAAGGTCGTGGGTAACAGAGACCCGCAGTGAGTCTATTTTCATTTCGCATGTGTTATGCGTTTACGCGTGCTACGAAACCTAATGATAAAATATAAAAAAATGAGAAAGAGAGAGAGAGAGAGAGAGAGAGAGAGAGAGAGAGAGAGAGAGAGAGAAGCACAATGGAGATGTTGAGCACGTGAGATGCTTAGTAAACAGATCAGATGAACCGGACATCGGATATGATAAAAATGTGCGTCAATTAGATCGCCATGAAGGGGCCTGAAGCTAATGATTTAGACGAGAGGTGAATAATGAATCTGTGCTTTGGCACGTGTATTTTCCAAAGTATCAAAAAAAAATATATATATATAATATATAATTATTTTATATATATAATACTGTATATAATATAATTATATTACATATATATATTTATATTTATACATTACATATATAATTATATAATGTTGTATATAATACAATTGTATTACATATATATATATGTATATTTATACATTACATATAATATATAATTATATAATTATATATATATTGGAGAAATCGAGTAATTTAATGTTAAAAACAAACACCAGTGCGAAATACAATAATTTCTGGATTTGATCTGTAAGAAACGAATTACCCCACTTTGGTGTGATTAACGAAAATTATTATTAAAAAAAATTTTATTTATATTTATATTATATATTTTATATTTATATTATATATTTATTTATATTTATATTATATTTATTTTATATTTATATTATATATTTATTTATATTTATATTATATTTATTTTATATTTATTTTATATTTATATTATATATTTATTTATATTTATATTATATTTATTTTATATTTATTTTATATTTATATTATATATTTATTTATATTTATATTATATTTATTTTATATTTATTTTATATTTATATTATATATTTATTTATATTTATATTATATTTATTTTATATTTATTTTATATTTATATTATATATTTATTTTGATGGATGGTACATAGCACCGATTGCCATGTACTCATCACTATGGATACGAGCGAAAACTGCTGGTTACAGACACCATGCGTATAGCGCGTTTCTTTTTGTCTCATCAAAAGTATTGCGAGGCCCATGGTGAGAAGCACGTGCGAAACATATATTGTAAACCACTTTGTTAATTCTATTGTAAAATATAGAATATATATTAAACTATTTATTTAAGTCCATTTGGTGAATTCTACGGAAACCTAATTCTCCACATATTTTATATTTATGTTATATATTTTATTACATATTTATTTTACTTACAATTTTCTTGTATTAAAAGAAAAATTAAATTATATTGGAACAAACTCGTAATTAGAAAAAATATGACTTGGTCTCCCTTGATCTCGTACAAATGTCCAAGACTGATCTAAACTTCAATCACCCTCGTAAATATAACTTGTTTTTATAAATACATTTACATCTATTCCAAATATAACTCCAATTCTCGATTCGATTCGAAAAAAAAAAAAGAAAAAGACATTTCGTTGTAGAATTCGATGTCAAATGAAAACGAAAGGGAAAAAAGATAGAACAGAAACCGGGAAGAGAAGAAGTCGCAATCGTTTGCAAACACTTGCGGGGAAATATAACGCTGTGAACGTGCAACCATTTATCTGACAGGTGTATAAGTTATTGTTAATGATCGGCCGCATCAGCGTGGCGCATCGGCGTAGAATGTTTCGCACGTTGTTCCGCAAACAACTGATTTAGACGGTGTACGTGAACGTCGTGCGAGATGGAAATAAGCTCGCATGAGAAAACGTTCTGAAACAAGATTGAAATGCACGGTTCAACGAGTATAAGTCAACGTGACAAGGACGATCGGCAGCTGTCGAGGTGCGGTGCGGTCTTTTCCATCCAGCTGATACATTCTCAAACTGGCATACACTTTACAATATACATTTGTATATACCGTTGTGTTTTTTTTTCGCGTTCTGCACGGTGTGTGCGCGAAGAAAGAAACGGAAATAATGCTTAATTGAAGACAGAAAGAGAAAGAAACAACGAAGATATTGACATATTTTTTTTTCTTTATAGATAATCACTTTTGTATTGTAGATTAAGTTCGATATTGTAACGTAAATCGTGCGATCATAATAATATATAATATAATACTGGATATAATATATAATTAATATAATTAATTTATAATTAATTAATAATATTAATTTATATATAATTATATTAAATATAATTTATATATAATTATATTAATAATAATGTATAATATAATAATAATGAAGGTATTGACATAGTTTTTTTCTCCCGAGATAATTCGTATTGTAGATTAAATTCGATATTGTAACGTAAATGATGCGAAAATAATATATAATATAATAACATATATAATTTATTATATATAATTATATATATAATTATATTATAATATGTAGTTGTATGTAATTAATTTAAATTAATTAATAATATTAATAATTATATATTATACATTAATGATCACTTTCGTATTATAGATTAAACTCGATATGATAACGTAAATCGCGATAATAATGGAGATAATCGATCAAGCAAAGTTCAGAACTCTTGATCTAAGTAATAATCTAACAATCCCTTATCCCAGCGACAAATCGCGAAAAATCAGCATATCTTCCTCTCAATGACAAATTTCCATATTTTTGATAAGCTTTAAATAGACTCGTATCGCTACCGTGAATCTCGTATCGCCTGATCGTTGAAACGTACCTAAATATAATAATATCCGCGATAATAAAACCACAATCTGCGTGTTACTAACAGTAAGTGATCGTTGCCGCGTTACAAAGTTGACGATCGACGTACCATTCAATTCGCTATATCAATAAAACGCTTCTCAACGACGTGCCTACCATAACGACCGCGACTTGACGAGCTATAACGTCGCCAGCTACGAAATCAATTACGACTCGTGACGCAATTCCGCGCCGATTTATTATCACAATCGATCACGTTACATCCGCCGAATCGCGAACAATCGCGTTTTAATCAGTGCCGAATAAATTGGAGGCGGGGAAGAAGGTCCCAAAAGAAGGTGTCTTTTGTGGTGAGAGGGGGAGGGAGAGAGTGGGGACAATACCGAGGTGTGTAGTGATTCATCTAACATAGACGTATCGCGCGTACTATGTCGCTAACGTCAGAATACATCGTACGAAATGTGAGATGCTCGTTAGTCTCGTTCCAGGTGGCTCGTTATCGCTGGTAACAGTGTGTCAAGTATCACATAAGTTAGCCTCAACGCGTGACGCTCGCGTAATGCCTGGTATAGGTAGAATTATGAAAGAACCGCGGCGTTCGATGAAGAAGAAAAAAAAGAAAGAGGAAAGAAAAAAGGAAGAAGAACAGAGTTCAAGATGAGAACAGTATTCGTCGTTCGATGACGTCGGGAGGCGGCGGTGAAAGATCCATTGACGTGACCCGCTTCTTCAGAAAAATCTACAAATCAAGCCGGATGCGTCTGAAAGGAACGATGCATCTTGATTCTTGTTTGTACGTCGCCTGTAACGATCGATGAACAGGTTGAACAAATATTATTAAGCGGCGTTAAATCGACCTAGACAATATGTATCTGTGTACACAACACAGTCACTTGCGAGTGGATTTAAAGAATTTTCACGACATCATTTTTCTTCTTTTTCTATTTATGTAATCATCGTTCAAA